CAGGGCGGCTTCCCAGCCCCGCGAACACGAGTAGCCCACGCCGAGCAGCGAGCTCTCCGAAGGAACACTTCCCCTCTGCCGTCCATGAGGGAGGGAGCTCGGTGGCTATAGCCGCCGGCGGAACTTGAGCGGTGTGGTGCGTGTTGCCCCGCCGGGCCCGGAAGCGGTGGGACCCGTATTACCTCAGCGCCGGGGAGTCGGTCGAGGAAGGAGGGGGCTTTGAGGTGGCTGCGTTTATGGTGAGGCCGCTGTCGCTTATTGCCGTGTGTTGGCTTTGCCTCTGCCCTTCGGGCGTGGGGAAGGCGGGCGGGATCTGGGCCCTGGTGCTCAGGCTGCTGTTGGGGGTGCCGTGAGGGGTAAGGGAGGTCGTCTCTGGAAGCTGAGCTGTGGAACTGCTGGGTGGTGGGTTGGTGCTGGTAAATTGTTGCGTAGGGACGAAAAGCGGGCAAAAGTGTATGAACATTTCCCCTTTTCTTCTTCATGGTACCTGGGGTGAGGGGAACAGGGAGAGAGCAAGGTTGAGTCAGTGCTTCTCTGCGTCTTTCCTTTCAGAGAATCATAGAATGGTTTGGGTTGGAAAGGACCTTAAGATCATTTAGTTCCATCCCCCTGCCATGAGCAGGGACACCTCGCACCAAACCATGTTGCCCGAGGCCCTGTCCAGCCTGGCCTTGAACACTTGCCAGGGATGGTTGTGCTTTGGTTTGAGGCACGTTTGCCAGCAGTTTACCTCAGTCTCAGAGGACATGGAAGCTCTGTGCATGGGGTGTGTTATTTAGGAACTTGCCACCTGTCTGACTAAGCATGTGGTAGAGAAAATGTGAATTCCTTCGATATAGTTTTAGTCCACAGTGCATAACTTAATCAGGGTATAAGAATAGTAGTAAATTTTACCATGAGTAGAGGAAGGTATGTTGGCATATAGAGAATATATGAGGGGTGACTGGCTCCATTCTTAAAAGCTCAGAGAAGATGAATTGATTTGACATTGTTTTAGGATTTATTCTGTGGGAGGAGAAATATACCAAAAACCCCCAAACTCAGGCAGCTGCTCTGTTTAATTTTCTGAGTCACAGATAATAGCCTCTGTACAGAGAATTGAACATCAGGGCTCTCCTTTATAAATCAGAGAGTAGCAGCTTGGCATAGCTGTTCCTACCAACAGTGATGCAGAGAAAGCAAAGAAGATTTTCAGAATTTTTCCAAAGCTTTATCAAAAAACTCCCAAACCCCTAATGAATTGCAGTCTACAGGAAATCCAGAGAGGGACTTTTTACAAGGGCATGTGTTAGTGACAGGACAAGGGGGAATGACTTTGAACTGAAAGAGGGGAGATTTAGAGTAGATACAAGGAAAAGTTCCTTTACTGTGAGGGTGCCCAGAGAAGCTGTGGGTGCTTCATCCCTGGCAGCGTTCAAGGCCAGGTTGGACGGGGATTGGAGCAACCTGCTCTAGTGGAAGGTGTCGCTGCCCATGGTAGGGAGTTGGAACTGAATGAGCTTTAAGGTGCCTTCCAAATCCAAACGATTCTGTGAATTTATTTAGTCTCTACAATCCTCTCTGTAATCCCAAACCAGATGCATTGAGGGGGCAAGGGGCCCAATGACTTAAGGAAGGAGCATATAGGACTGCATATACTGCTGTAGGACTTCATATCTGAAAAGTCTCATCGTCCATGACTGTCAGATGAGACTGTCGTTCTGGCCCAGACAGCAGCAGGCTCTACCTGTTGAGCATTTGTGATTTCTTTGCAGGGGATAATACTTTATGGTTATATAGATGTAATCTTTTAGAAAGCTTCTTCTTGAGGTTGTCTTTGCTTGTGTTACTCATAATACCTAAACTTAGTTACAGTAAAAGGGATAAATGGGAGTGCCTTTTTTTTTCCTATTTCAGTTTAATTTGAAATATTTTACTTAGTTTTTCTTGGTTGCATGGGTATTTCACACTACAGAGAGGGGGGAACACATAGGGGTGGAAATCACTAAGTAAACTAGAACTCTAAGGAAGCGTAATACTTGATGTTATTCCCTTTTCCAATGGCTTAGATTTCTAGTTAATACCTCTTTTAAAAATTAGACAGTTTTACAAGCACCCCATGTGGAATTCTTTTAATCTTTCTCTTTTTTTTTTCATTAAAGGTGGGGATAAACTAAGGTAGTTCTGGGTACTAGTTTTGTTCTTTTCAATTTCAGTTTCAAACCTGTTAACTGCCTTACTGGAAGTGAATTCTTCAAGTGTACCAATATGGCTCTGGCTGCCACGTTGCTGCACACCACTTACCTCTGCAGGAGATGCTGCAGGCACAAAGCTTTGCAGCCCTTACTTGGAGCTCTCCTCAGCGATCCTCTGTCAAAATCATACAGCAGCTATAGGAGGCCAGGGTCACAGCCTGAGAAAAAATTGACTTGGCAAAATGTGGATTTCAGTTTTAAGAAGAGCATTGAAGTCTTAAAGACCCAGCTGAGCATGCTGATGGAGGAGACCAGAGATCACTTAGTTGGACCTGGAGGCCGGTCATTAAGCCATTACATGTTGGAACAGACAAGGGTGGTGTGGGAGTTTCGGAGCCAAGAAGATTTAAATAAGTGGGTTATTTCCTCTGATGTAGAGATTGGAGGGAAAAGTGAAGTTTACCTCAAATTGGGTAGGAATAACCAGGCTGCCATGCTGTATGGAACCCTCAATACAGAAGTACCTCGTGATGGGGAGACAAAATACAGCGGATATTGTAGTATGAGATCTAAACCACTAGTGGTAAGTACAGCTTTGTGTTTGCATAGCTTCCGTTGTTGAATCCCAGAGCATGTTTGTGCAATCCCAGTTACAACTACTGGGCTGTTGTTTACTGCAGTTGCAACTGATCCATTTCAGGGATATTGGTTATTTTCTCCAGGAATGTAATTGCTGCTATATCTTTTGACCTGGAAGGGCACCACTCAATCAGACAGCCCTGTTTGCAGCCTCCTTGCAAGTGAAGGATCTGTAATGAACTTTATATCCAGAATTGGTATGATTAATAAATGTTTCTCTAACTTTGAAGAATGTGTCTTAAGGACAAATTTTCTGGGGTCTAACTTGACATCAAACTTGGTTTAGGTGAAAGAGCTCATCTTTTTTCGCACAGGAACAGAATAACGCTTTGAAGTGTACTTTTTAAAGGTCTGGCTCCTGCTGCTCCTCAGAAAAAGCAAGAGACCAATCTTTTTGTCATGGTTTAAGCTCAGAATTGAACAAAATAGAACCAGAAATGGATGTGTTTATTATTGATACTGCTTTATTCCCTTTTTTAAAGCATCTTTAAGATCAAAGGAACATTTTGGCTCAGTGTGTAAGATGCTTAGGTTTTCAGTCTGTTCTGTTGTTTGTGATTTGGCACAGGTACAGAGGTAAAATCTTTTCTGGGCCAGAATCTTGGAGTGCAGAGAATGAGTGAGCAAAATCAATGGGCAAATGAGAGGCAGATGAACACTGGTTGAAATGGTGACACTGCATCAGAGGAATGGAACAGCAAGTTGAATCTTGCCACACACTTGAGCTAGTGTGACTGACTCTTTCACCCCCTGATTCTGAAGCAGTGGAGTGTATCAATCCATCTTCATAAAGCAGTTTCAAATCAGAGGGTGAAAACATAAATACAAAGTCTTTTCTTGATTTAAGTAAAAAGGCTCAAATCTGGCAGAACCATAAAATCAAATAGCCACGGGCCTCACATTAATGTTTTTATTATTGTTTGTATTGTTGATGATCTACTCATCCTATTACCTATGAGTTCATAGAAGGACAGCTGATAGGTAACTAGTAGTTCTGTAAAATAAAGGGGAAACCTCTGAGGTTTTGGTGCTCATCTTGACTTGGGTTAAGGAATTCTGGCCAAGGGTAGACCTGACTGCTGCCCTCCATGGCTCCAGATGACCTCAGTGTAATTCTCTGAAGGTTCTTGGATCTGCCTATGTGCAAATCACAACACTGGGACTTTTAAGATCTTTGGGGGAAAAAAGGCAGTCAAGAAATAGAAATGTTTGCAATTATTATGCACAGTTAATGACATAAAGTGTTGGGAAACATTAAATGCTTCCAGTGCTTGTGTCAGTCTTCAATAGGAGAAGTTATCACAGGGGATAAATTATCCCATATCTTCTATTTCCTGTGATCACCTCTGAATAATCGAGTACTGACCACAGAGTATTTAAATTTAATGAACTGCATCACTACTGATCCATCACTGTAGTGTTTGTGTACTTGCCTGCTAGGGATTTTGGCCCTAGGAAGGAGGTCTGATCTCTAATCATTACAAGATTGTGGTTTATAGTTAAAGCAGGAGTCAGCAGAGTGGTAATACTGCAAGTTGTGGGTTCTGGTACAGTGCTGAAGGTAACTCAGAGAGATCAGCAGCTAGTATGATGTAAGAGCAACCCAATTTTCACTATGTCACAGTGGATGCTATTTGATATATAACGAGGGCAGTGTTCAAAGCAGTAGTGCTCTGTTCTTCATGGTTTCCCTTTATTAGGAATAATTTTATTTCTTACTAATTTGTAGGGATCTTTTGCTAGGAAGAAGTATTATGACTGGTCAAACTTCAACTGTCTGTATTTACGTGTGCGTGGTGATGGAAGACCCTGGATGGTAAACATTTACACAGACCCTTACTTCTCTCATCAAAAGGATGACCTCTACAGCTACTTCATGTTCACCCGTGGCGGCCCGTACTGGGAGGAGATAAAGGTGAACTAATGAGCCTTTCAAACTAAGGAGACTGTCCTGGGGTCCTGTCTCCATGGCAGGGGAATTCTTTCCACAGTCACAGCTTGTTGCTATTGCTGTTTGCTATATCCTTGCGCAACTGACATGCGCCTTTGGCTTGGGAGTTCCCCAGACTGGGCTGTGGGAGGGCGCACCATACAAATTGCACTAAATATTTGACCCACTTTGTGTTCACCTGAACACCTGCTGGAGCTGTTACTGGAGTGATGGAATCAATGCCTATGATTGCAGCTTAGCAGGCGTTGCCCTGAGTTTTCTCTGTTAGCCATATAGTACAAATGGACATAGGCTGAGGTGGGATTTGTACCCTGTGACACAGTTTGCTCAACCCCCTGACTTACTGGAGTCAGTCAAACTCAGTGTGATTTGTCGTTCTTGGCCTTTGAATGTGACACATTTGTAAGAAGTGGGAATTTTGGCTCTTTTCTGATCAAAATTGGGGAATGTCTGTAATTTGCTGCTGGCAGCAATGGCAGCAGTGTTGAGGAGGTTTGCACACCCTTGTGCACTGGCACCAAGTGCTTCATAATGCCATGTCCAGTCATGTGAGAACAGCCCCCTCTTTCACAGGTGAGGAGTTGGGAGGTGAAAATCAGAGTGCTGTTGCTGGCTTGTGTGTCTTCCTCTCCCTCTCACCAGCCAACCCTCTCATTCCCTACCTATTACCACAGCCCCTCCTCTTTCTTGCTCCCACTGCAAAGTCGTTTTTAGGTTACTCTGAACAGCTTAGCCTAGAGTACTGATGTCTCAGTATGAAGTTTGCACTCTGAGGTATACAGCTTGGGTACAGATGAGCTGTCGACACACATACGTGCTAGGCTTCTCCTTAATTTCCATTTTATGTTCATGTTATTGGAAGGAGATACTCTGGATGTAAGCAGCAGCTTCTGTGCTGCAGCCTCTCCTTGTGTCCTCACAGGGTAACAACCCTGCACAGTGGCTACAAACCCAGTGGCTACCTGTGGCTAGTCAGTGAAGGGGTTAATGTGGCCCATTGCTCCATGTACCTGCTAGTGCTGGGGCCACATGTAGCATTACTTCATTTACTTAAGGCAGGCTTTTATTCTTTTTCTTAACTCTTTTGGTTTATTTATTGGTGACACTAAAGTCTGATTTTGGTTTGTTTCTGTCAGATTCCATTCTCCAAATTCTTTCTCTCCAGTCGGGGAAGAGTCCAGGATAACCAACATCCTATCTGGTTAGACAAGGCAAGTTTTCTATAGCCTTTATCTGTTTGAAATTGCCTTTAAGATTATATTGTCATGATATAATTTACAAATCCTTTAATGTTTGTGAATTTGAAAATGAAGGGCTGCTTCTTGTTGTAAGGTACTTACTCTTGTGTGCTTGTCTTTGCTTTTAAATTAGCCTACTTTGTGATAGCAGTGTCAGTTTTTACTTCAAAGGAGCTCCAAAAGTATTTTTAAGAGATCAGTACAAGCAAGAAACAGCTCACTTGGCTTTTGAAAGAAAAAAATTAAGAGGTTTCTTTTGAGGGATGATCAAAGTGACTGAGAAATCTCAAATGCCACTTGGCACAGTGATGTAGAAGTACTGTAAATGTTCTTCCCAATAGAAGACTATCATCTCATGAGATTCTATTTGAGAATGTGCCCTCGATGGTGAATGAGCAGTACACTGATAGATTTATAAGCTTTTTTTTTTTAGTTTTTCAGGCGTTTTAGTCTAAGTATTAAACAAATGTGGTATTTCTTTATTTGCTTTCTGCAAATAAGTAAACTAATTCCCGGATTCGCAGGAGACATTGGAAAAAAGTGCTTATCTTTTTTTACAATTCGGTGACCCTCCTCTGTGTAGTTGAGGGCAGCTTAAAACCCAGTGACTACCAGCAGGAAAACAGACAATGTTAGAAATAGATATGGGGGAGAAAATAAAAAAGCCTATTACTTGAATTTGCATTAGTCAAATGCTCCATCATTGGCAGTGTTCAAGGCCAGGTTGGACAGTCTTGGGCGATATGGTCTAATGCGAGACATCCCTGCCCATGGCAGGGAGTTGGAACTGGATGATCTTAAGGTCCTTTCCAATCCTAACTGTTCTATGATAATGTTGCATTCAGTTCTTAATTGTGTAATGAAAAATCAAAAGCAGACAAATTAGGAAAACTTTGAGGGCAATTCAGTGATTGGCAGCTTGAAACCAATCTGTTCTAAACCAGAAGTTGAGGCTGTAGAAAAAGTGTGGATGATGTGAGGAAGGTGGGTTAACTAAAAGAAATAATAGGCTTTATGGAAGAAAGTTGTTATAAAAGGCCTAATTAAATAAAGACATTGAAGACTTTATCAGGATTTAGAATATAGAGTCATTCAAAATGTAAATGAAAACATGAAGTTGTATATGGGGTGTTTAAACATATTTACCTCGAGTTAAAAGGACAGAACGGTGCTTGATCTAAGCATCCTCTACTTGATTTTCATTCCTTGCTCCCTTATGTTTAATATTTCACAGTAAAACCTGTGCATATAATATAAAGTGCAGTTTTACAAATGTATTCTAAAGAATCCTAAAAACAGGAAAGTGGTGTGAAGGCATCAAAGAAATGTTGATAAAATTCCTTGGTCCCTCATGGTGCTGCTGTTTGTTATGTTTTCCCAGGAACAAGGAAGGGTGTTCTTAAACAAGAATAAAGAGTCAGGAAATAGCCAATGTATTGTGGGCTTGCAGGGGAATAGATTGTGCAGAGCAGGGAGTTCAGGTGGCTTTTGTTATTTAATAGTGGTGGGGAAGAACATTAGGGGAAAGGAATAAGGAATGTTCTTATGAACCTTATTCTAATTGGGAAAAAGTACCCAAGAATCTTGCCTTAATATAAAACTTGGTAGCAAAGATTCATGTGTTTTAAAACATCTGGTTTGTGCACTTCCACACTATACCAGGTGTAGGACTTGATCCAGAGTGGACATTCCCTTCCATCCTCAATTACAGTTTCTACCTCATGGAAGACTGTAATAGGCTTTATGAAAACCTCTTTGTATACCCAGTCATGGTGAAACTGGGCACACGTAAACCTTGACGAATAAAACCTGCAGTGTTGCTTTTAGGCTGAGGCCATGTCTAATACAGTGCTCAACACAGCAGTAGAAAGGGAGATGGGAAGTAGTGTCCCACTGGGGGCTGTGTAGAAACACGACAGTGAAGTGTTTGAACCTTAAGAAATGCTGCTGCACTTGGAACAGATACCAGTCTGAAGTAAATGGCCATGAATTGTAAAATACAAATGTGGTAGGTAGATACAACTGTGCTTGCTTGTAACGTTATACATACTGTGCTAATGCATGTATCTTTTAATTAGATAAGTACCCTGGGATTCACTATTGGAGATAAAGTAGATGGTCCATTCCAGCTGGAAATTGATTTTATTGGTCTGCTGCATGATGGAGCCCATACAGAAGAATTTGCCTACGAAACGTATGATAAGAATCCTCCACTCTAAGCTGAGCAAGTGGCTTTTGGGACATCCTTCAGCTGCTTTGTTCATTTCTATAAAGCTTATAGTAACTTGAAGATTCTAAGTAGATGTTAAAAAGAAGTGCATAAAGTGTTGACTGTAGTAATCAGACTTAGAGTGGCATATTTAAGGTGGCATATTTAAGCTGCCAGATGCTGGAGGGACTGTACATACATGGACTGGAACACAGCCTGAGAAGAGGGGTGACCCAGTAGGAACTGATGACTGGGTAAGTTCTGGCTTCTGTCCTGACCTTCACAGAAATAAAAGTATTTCATGAGCTTCTTGTAGTTATTATTTGCAAGTGGTTGATAAACCACTTGTATCCACTAGTTTGAAACTGGAAAAAGTATGAGGAGAATTGGTACCCTGAGGGACGGTGCTTAAGTGTGACTCAGTGCTGATACATACAGAGAGCAGCCCCAGAAGTGGAAAAGGCAGAAGTATTTAAACCTTTAACTTTAGCTTCTGAAGAACTAAAAAAAGAAAAAGCTTCCCCTGCCAAGGTTGAAACAGTAGCTGTGCAGCAGCCTTGGCTTCTGGTTTAAAGCTGATGATGATAGTCCTACAGCTTTGCTAGAGCTGAAGTTGCTGAACAGAAGTAGAGCTACAGGGCAGGGTTGGGGGAAGCCCCCATCCCTGTTAGCTCCCTGAGGAGATACACAGCTCATCTTTCCAAGAGCCATTGCTTGTCTGATGTGAGCAATTAGCTTTAACACGCCTGTAGTGGGAGAAGTCACAGCCACTGCTGGTGGCAGAGACCTGGTAACTTCCCTCTTTCTGAGAACTCTGCTTTTGGGTGATGTGAGAAACACTTCAAAGAACAAGTGCTTAATTGTTCCACTTCACTCATCATAAACTTGCGTAATCAAAGCACTGACCTCTGCTGCAGTGACCTTAACAATACTTGACAAATACCAAACATATCTATATTTTGTATGGAAGAGGCCACCAAAAAGCAAGCTGAAGCAGTGTCTTGTAATGTCATTTTCCTCTTGCATAGAATAGCTTGAAAGCAGAAAAAGGGTGATGGTTTTAATTTCTAAAGCTACCAGAACAAACATGCTTTCATAAAGTAGTAGCAGGCTCTTTGGTGAGGAAAACTTGGCACAAAAAGAGGTTGAGTAGTAAACAAAAGTGTGAACAAGGCTAGTGCTACACTAAGGGGGTAGTTACATATAGTGCACTATGATGATAGAGAACCAGTGATCAACAGAATATGTACAAAATATTTATTCCCCCCCCATTAACTTCTTTTAAAAAAGAATTGCTTGTTCTTGACATTTCAGCATATATTTGATAGGACACTAAATTCACTGAGAATTACTGGCACAGGACTGTAGCTGAAAGATCCCTGGAGTACCTTTCCAGTTCCATCATAAATCCAGACAGCTCTTCCGTGTATTTTTAAAGGTAAAAATAACACCAGCTTTTAAATCTAACATATTGAATGTGCCTCAACACTCCTGTAACCTGTTTTAAGCATCAGAGACATGAAAAGCAGAACAATTCTGTTAACAGTTGCTATTTAGCAGAGAAAGGAACAAAACAACCTGAAGCGTTCAAAGTATCCCACTGGTCATTTGTAGAGCCCCATTTGTTTCAGCTGTGACTTTAATACAGTGTGTTACCAATATGTTATCTGGAAGCTTTTAGTTTTCCAGAGAGCTTGCATGGCTTAGCTTCTCTTGGAAATCTTCTACTACCTCAAACACAATGCAAAACACTGAGTAATTGCTGTCAGTATTGTTACAGAATTGAAGGATTGATTTGGAGAAAGGGGCAATTGAATTAATTGTAGTTTGCCAATGGAACACTTTGAAGCTTGCTATCCAAAGTGTGCATCTGGTAGTAACAAATGCAGTCTGGTCCATCCAGGAGGTCCATCCTACGTTGCAAGGAGGCTTCTTGAGCATCTTTTCCCCTCTCACTTATATTTTCTCCTTTAATGTGTTTTAGTTAAATGAAAACATCAAGCAACTAGAGATAGTTATAAGCGCCTAAAAGTTTAGAACTCTCATCTCGGAGAAGTTGATCACTAAAACATTATGCTCGGATGCACTCCGAAGTTTTACTCAATGGTCTCTGGATTCTACTAACTAATAGCAAGCTGAACTACACACACACAGAGCACAGATATGTACATGACAGGACCAGTATTTACAGTAATCTTTTAGATATTTCTTATTCCTCCTAACCCACAGATACTCCTCTGCGGTTTTCAAGAACCTGAGCCTTTTTCTTCTTTCTTTCTTGCTCATGTTTCTCCCGCCTTTCTTCCCTGAAGGGGAAAAAGAAGAGACAGACCACATCAAGTTGTGCTAAGGGCAGAGATACAAGCAACCAAAGGAATCTGGCCAAGGCCTAACATCCGTTTAACCAGTGTGCTGTGTTTGCCACAAGCAGGCAGAGCAGTACTGGGTTGGACTGATTCCAGACATTGAGGCAAAGACTTCTGCTTAGATATACAGGTCTAACATTCAAGGTAACAGCACATCAGTATTCACAGCTTCCCTCCAAGGAGAAGGCAAAGCTCCAAACACTAGAGCTGACAGCATTCACAGAATAAGAGCTTGTCAGATTCAGAGCTGCCCTCTTTGTTGGCCTCCCTGATTCCAGACTACTGGAGACAAAAATTGCTTTAATACAAAAGTATTCGTTGCATATTGAAATCCTAAAAAGACAAAGGAGTCACCATATTATTTTAAGTAACAGTACTCATAGAAAGCCAGTGGTGTACTAACCTCGTCTGGAGATGAGGCTGTTTGTAGTCTTTCTTACGTGAAGAGATGTTGCTGCCAGGCTTACTTGGGACAGTATTTTCTTTAGATTCTCCCCAAGGTTTTAGTCTTCCTACAATTTCAGGGGGAAAAAAAAAAAAAGAGATACTATTGAATCACTAGTTTAGTAATTGCGTGCTTAACTTCTTGTTGTGAGTTTTATACTCACTAGGCTGCTTTTTGCAGGTTGACTCTAAGATGAAATTCCTTTTCATCTGTATTATCAGTTTCACCAGCTCATTCCCTACAAGTAGTTTTTCTATAAGTAGTAGCAGATGTCTGTGCTTAGAAGCAACACTCACCACACAAAGTTCAGCTTCTCACACAACAGTATGCTTTAAAAAAAACAAGCTAAGCTAAAAATAACCTCAATTATGTGAGGAATATATCACGTTTCCTGTACACACAGTGGAATACAAGGATGTTTATTCTTATGGGCTTTTGGTCATAAAGATTTCTGCTTCAGTAGGGAGGCTATTAAAGCATATGTTATGTAGAAATCTAACATTAGTCCACAGACTATGCGGGAACCTAGAGAGAAAGGGAAGGGGATGGGTAAAAGAGACTGAAGACTTCATTGTTGTGGTTTGTGTCAATGCCTTTTAAGCAGCTGAGTAGAAGGGATGTGGCCAACACAAACTGCACAGGATCATAGTACCTTTATGTGGCTGATACCGAAGTGGCCTTGAGAGACTTGCTTTGAGATCAAATGTCTTCTTGGTGCTTGTGGGTTCTGCAGGGTGAGCCGAAAACTTGAAGGGGGTGACAGCTACAAAAGGCATCAAGATACCATACTTCATTATAGTAGCAAGAGCATCACTGACAGAAGTTCAGAAAGTGCCTGTGAAGACCACCTTACAAGTATCAAGACCAAAGAGCCACTAAATGGTACCATCTGCTACCTCTAACGAGGTAGGCCTCTTTATCTGAAAGAGCCAAATACTCACCCTCCACTTTACCCTTTGATGCAGTTAGGTCATTGTTTCTTGCATTTCCCACGCTGTTTTTCCGACTTGCTGATTTGCAGCTCCTATGGCTCTCAGGTGTGCATATTGCCAGGTATGGAGACATTCTAGATGGAGTCTTGGTAAGGGAGCGTTTGTGCTCATTGTCTTTTGTGGCTTCTGAGAACCTGAAAGTTATTAAGTTAGTAATCTACAAGGAATAGAAGCAATATGAAAGAACACAGAATGTTCTATTTTTCTTCTTACAGGTAGAAAGTATATAAGATGTTCACTGCTTCTGCATAAACCACACTGAAAACAACTTTGCTGGCAATTTTCAAGTTATGAGCCATCATTAATAGCAGGAAGTAATACTAGGAATTGATTCAGATATGAGAGATGATTAGGTTATCTGACAAGAGAGAAAACACATTAAGGGAAGAAAAATAATTAGGCTCAGTTGGTTTAGCAAAATGAAAGCTGGAAGAGATACAAGATTCCTCTGCCAGCAAAAGTGAAAATGAAGAATCATAGTCGTAACAGCAAAGTAAGGCTTAAACCAGCCATAAAGCTGGGCTGAAAGTTAGTAACCAGGATTAGCCTCACATAGATAATGTTTGGAACAGATATATGAAATCACAGTGTTGATTATTTCATGTTTATCACACCAAATAGCTCACTGGTAGGTTAGGTTTGTTCTTTTTACCTGACGTTCATTTTGGTTGTTGAAAGGACAGAAGGGTTAAATGAAGATTTCTTGGATAAAATACTCCGACTGGCATTCAGAGAACTGCGCGGTGAGCGCCGGCGGTTACTGGGGGTGCAGGTGGGGGAGAATTTGCCTCTTTCTGGATTTGGGCTGAATAAGAACGTTTTGCTGCTGGTTTGTTTCTGGGGAAGAACAAATCCCGAGTTAGCAGACTGCTAAATGTTTATCAGAAAAGCAGCTAAGAGGAAGGGAAAAGACACAGTGAATCGGATGCACAGTCTCCTCAGTTTTCCCCTTTTTTTTTTTTCTTTAAAACATAAGTAGTTTAATAAAACTGATCTGAAAACACATACCTTGGAAGTGCTATGAGGAGTGCCTTTTTCTGGTGCTCTTAAGTTATTTGACTTTTTGGTCAGCACCTGCCAAGAGTAATTGGTCAGAAGTATAGGTTGTTACAATACGTGGCTCAGAAAGAGAAATGTAGCTCAGGAGTTTCAGTCTTAACTGTTTTGATAAGGACTTGGCAGTGCAAGTTTAAGGGTTAGACTTGATCATCTTAAGGTCTTTTCCAACCTAAACTATTCTCTGATTCTACTGACATATTCATCCGTATCTTTTGATACATGACTGACACTCTCAAAGAGGCAGCTTTCACCCATGCCAGCGTGAAATACAAGAACTGAGAATTAAGGCACTGAGAACAACATGTCACATGTATATGAAAGGACAGTTATATGCAGCCATTGGACAATGGTGCTTTAAGGCACAAAAGAGGAACTTTAGTATTAAGCTCCTACTCTTTGAAAAACAACCCACCCCCTTGGTTAAACCCTGCAGTAATTCAAACAGTTGCAAACAAAAGCTCCAGGAAACCCTTCACAAAAGAAATGGTGACAGAATTAGTTTTTACTCAAAACTGACAAGTTACTTGTTGGTTTCTTTAACTATAACCATACACTGTTAATATCTATAAACTTACATGACTTCACAAGTTATATACAAATAGCTATACATAACTAGTTGTATAGGACTGCAGTTAAATTTCACTGACCATAACATTCCACTGCATGTACACATGATCACTACTTACTCCTCTAAAGAGACTCTACAAGACTTTTACAGAGAGGCTCTGGACATCAGTGGATAGGGGAACAATGCGTATCTTCTGGTGTTGTCACTCACCTTTACTTCATTGAGAGAACTGCTGCAGCTTTCAATAATTTTCTTTTTCCTCTCAATGTAGTCAGCAATAGATTCCATTTTCTTGAAATGAGCCTCATGCAACTTCTTGAAGTCTAAGAAGTTCCAAAAATAAGAAGGGTCACATAACTAATACAGAAAAATATAACATATCCCTCTAAACAGTACGAAATAGAATCCCCTTCACCAGCTACATTGCCAGTGAGCTGGTGCATTCTCTGGAGAATTATAGAATCACAGAGTGGCTTGGGGTAGAAGAGACCTCTAAAGATCATCTGGTCCAACCCCCAAATTCTGCAGTTAAAGAAAAAACAAGAAATACTTCCGTATTTTAAATGAACTAATGTATTTTATGAAGTGATGAAAATGAGCTAATTCATAGTAATGCAGCCCAAAGGTCGCATTTATAAAGTGAAACCTAACAAGCAGGTATCATAGCACATCTTCCTGCTCTTTGTGGTTTTGAAAATCATGAATGCAAGTATTATAGCCAAAAGATATCTAAGTGGTTGATAATCAGTTTTTATAACATATTTGTGAGTCATTTATTACTATGAACTTACAATACAAGTTGGCAGATAAACCTTAACATGTAACTCTTAGGCACTTTTTGCTTGCTTTTTGAAAGAGAAGATGGTTTCTTCTTCAAGCAGAAATAGAAATCCGAGTTGTAAAAAAACCTCTTCACACACAGACAACACACCTATTCCTAAAGATGGTAGGGTAGCTTACTTGGTGTAGTAGCTTTCATTCCTTTTTTCCCAGACCTAGATGCACGGCCTGCATATACAGGAATCTTCCCTCCTGCCTGAAGAGCATCCCCTGGGACAGTAAGATTAGACAAAATCGTTACTACTTTTTCTGGTCCCCTCAGACAAGGTGCTGATCACCAGACAGGCCACAACAATCTTTGCAGTCACAACGAAGTAACCAAAAGATATATTTAGAGTAGTACAAATCACTAAACTTCCTTTTTTGGAATTTCCTACTTACATTCACCTCCGGCACTTTTAGTAGAAGTCGTCTTTGGCTGTTCTTTCTGAGCAGGACCCATCCCTGGGCTCTCAATAGCTCTCTTTTTAGTCACTTGTTCCTCAGTTTGCAATACCTTCTGTCCCTTCCCTTGCTCACCCTGAGGCACCTCGTTTTCTTTCATTTCCAAATGCATCTGCAGTTTAAAACATATGTCATTTAAATAGTTTGTTCCAGCTGGATATAAGGAAAAGCTGTTGTTCTGAGAGCGGTCAGTGGAACAGGCTGCCCAGAGAGGTTGTATAGCCTCCATCCTTAGAGGTTTTCAACATCGGATAAGATAAAGCCTTAAGCATTGTGGTCTAACCTCTGCTTTGATAGGGAGACTGAGCAAGAGACTTTCTGAAGTCCAACCTGAATTAACCTGTGAAATACTTATCCTGTTAGTTCACAGACAGAACTAGATTAGAAAGCTTTTACCTGCACAGCTCTAACGTGTTAGTATAAAATTGCCTTTATTGACAGAAGTTATTTGCAAGTAAAAATAAATTCACTGGCTGTTACTTTTTACTATTGTAGCTTTGGTTACTGTACAGTTCTCTAACAGTAACAGACTAACACTCCTCTTTTCTATTTCCCTTCTCTCATTCTAAATCAGGAAAAGTTCTTTCACATGGTTCTTAGTTCACCCACTAATTGCATGTAATGCTAAAGAAAAACAATTCCAGCCCATCTTACATTGAATCTTCCCCTCCCGCAGCCATACAACCCATGAATAAAGAACCCACACTGAGAGGAGTGGGAGTTAAAAAATTATGAGGTTGAGGCAATCATCCAATTCCCAATTATTTTTTTCCTATATAAAAAGAGAGAACAGCTTTATTTTTAGATAAATTCTGGAAGTAGTCTAATGTTCAGAACACTATAATGAACTAGTGAAGTGTCTGGAATATCGTTTCTTTCTTAGAGGAATTCAATTTACTTCTGTGACTAGTGAGTAGTCTCTGTTCATTTTGGAATAGCACAGTCAAGATAGACTGAATCAGTATTACAAAGTACAGAAAACCAGGACCAGACTATTTGCATACAAAAGTCTTATACATACACACAAAGACACATATATATAACATTTATACCACCTGCTAAATGGTGATAGGTAAAAATCAAGTGAGTGTACATCATGTTGGGGAAAGGGGGGCAGCCAGCAACAAAGCCAAGCAATACAAATCACCTCTTTCTCATCAGAAAGCTCTGTATTTTCCTCACTGGTATTAGTATCCTCAGTGGAGTTCCTTTTTTTTCTGGTGACTTTCTTTTCTTTGCCACATCTTCTTGTAATAAAAGACACTGAATGAGACATCATTTCCTCCTCATTGTTCAGTTCATCTGATTTGATGAGAGCAGAGGCACTTTTTTCAGAGTCCTGTAGCAGAACAACAGTATCATGTGGAACATCTCTGACACAAACCAATTAGGTACTCTTTTTAAAGAGATAATTTCCATTTTGTTATTGGCAAAAGTATTTCATACAGGGGAAAAGCAGCAGCATGTACCTAACAGTGCAGTGATCAAGAAACTGGCAATATCTAGAGTTCCCTAAATATCCAGGCCTATGTTTGAAGGCTTTAAAAGGGTTACAGTTGTTTTATTATATAGCATTTAAGCAAGATTATAACAGGTTAATGCTTTATGTTTGAAATCTGACTTGCAGGATGCTGTGACCCTCCCAGATTCATGTTTCTGTGGAATGCTCTTCACCAAAAGGAATACTCAGAGCCACAGCCATACTTTTTATAATTAAAAGTTTACAAGGATTCTACCAGCTCTTCAAACCTTTAAAAAAAGGTTTTAAAAGGAAGCACTTAGAGATATATTTTAGGAAAAGCAAATACCAGTTTACTTGCTATCAGAAACTTTGAAACCATCACCATACCCAACAAAATAGTTCAGATTACAGATGAGAAAACTTAATAGATAAACCAATACATGAAGAGATGAATAAAGGAAACATCACAGTTGTATCACTCTCATTACAGTGTCAGTGTAAGTAAGCTGTGGTAAATACCAAATGCTTTCCAATGAATATCTAATCCCTTTGATCTAGGCATGTAAAATGAATAAATACATTTATATTTGGTACTGACTACTGCCTGCAGTCACAAAGGCCGGAATTAATATCTGTTCAATGGAAATTAAATGTTGGTGTTCACAGAGAATAACATTGTACTGCTGCTGAAAAATACATTGTTCATTTCGGCAGCTGAGAGGAAGTCAGCTTTGGGTCAGATAGGAGGCCACTTAAAGCTAATATCAGCACATCTGTTTCTATCAGTACCAGAGTGTATTAAACTAAAGGCACTATGAAGAAAAAAGGTATTTTGATTACAGTTCTTATCATGGTAAAAAACCCCTAACTTTCAGTACATGCCCTGCTCTACTAGTCACACAGTTAGGTCTCTCTCTTTCTTAAGAATGGCTGATTTATCATCTCTTACCATATTTTCACTCTGTTGTTTTGTTCCATCAAAGTGTTGCTTCAGTGCTTTCAACAGTTTGTCTGCCTGGAGAGAAACCAAGACAACATATGAACCACATATCGCATTAAGTCATCCAACAAAACCCTGCATAAACTCAACCAGTGTCCTATCAATTGATCCAGCAAACAAGCAGAATGCTTCCTGAATCCAATAGAAGACTAAAGCTTCATTCAAGTCAGTCAAATTGTGTCCCTGCCCGTGGCAGGGGGTTGGAACTAGATGATCTTGAAGGTGCCTTCCAACCCAAACCAATCCATGATTCTAGATTAGAGAAAGCACTTAGGGCCACAGATAAATATGCAGCATATTCTCCACAGAGGCACAAAGACAAATTTCCCTGAGCAGCTTCCTTCCTTTTTGCCTGTTTTCTAGGAAATTTAATTATTCAAGGATGAATAAGACCATTTTTAGCAGCGCTGCATAACCGAGCAGGTATCAAGTATCTGCATAAACTTCTGTCTCACCCAAACTACATGCAAAGCATTCTTCTTCTCACCCCTTGCATCTATTCAACAGTAACAGCAGTAAAATAACAACAAAACTATGCTATTGACATTTTAGGCTATGAAAGACTCTTGAAAAGGTCAGCATAAAAATAAAACCAGAAATGGAGGTTTAAGAACAAAATAACCCAGAACTAAAAGCCCAGGGGGAAGTCTTTGTCCTGGCAGCACAATGAGTCCCCTTGTCCACTGAAGTGTTGGATCTTCTTTCTTTTAAGGCTCTACGCCTTCTCCCAGCGGCAGCGCTGCGGTGACAGCCGCGGGTGAGGAACCACCAGGCAAGGGCAGGGCACGGCCATCACCCCGCGGCTCTAGCGAAGAGACACCGATGCGCGCTTCAATCCGTCCTTCTTAACTACAGTGGTAAACAAACACACATATTCACGCCCCTCACGGCGCCCTCCTGTTCCTGTTCTTCCG